TAAATATAGTATCTTTGTCACGTTTTATTGTCCAGAAGATTCATTAATTTTTATAATTTGGCTATGCAGCCTTATCAGTAATTGTTACTGTACCTTATATCTTATGGAAGGAGGTGAAAAAATACCCAAAAAAAAGAGAGTTTATTTTAATGAAACGATATGAAATTTAAAACGTCATATTTACTAGAATGCGAACAATATTTCTCAAATGAAACAGTTTTCCATCCATGTGACGTCCATCAGTATATATTTTGAATTAATTTTTCTGTGAGTTATATATATAACATAAAATCTAGTTTAGGTAAACTGTACTTGTTAAGCCTAAAGTATTATATTTTAAATACCAGAAGGAGAGTGTTACACATTTTAAATATAGAGAAAATTGATGAGGTTTACTGAACTACTGTAATATGTAGTAGTGAAATATATCTATATCAGTTATGTTCACTGTGACTTTATCTTTAAATCAGTTATGTTCACTGTGACTTTATCTTTAAATCAGTTATGTTCACTGTGACTTGACCTTTAAATCAGTTATGTTCACTGTGACTTTATCTTTAAATCAGTTATGTTCACTGTGACTTTATCTTTAAATCAGTTATGTTCACTGTGACTTTATCTTTAAATCAGTTATTTTCACTGTGACTTTATCTTTAAATCAGTTATGTTCACTGTGACTTTATCTTTAAATCAATTATGTTCACTGTGACTTTATCTTTAAATCAATTATGTTCACTGTGACTTTATCTTTAAATCAGTTATGTTAACTGTGACTTTATCTTTAAATCAGTTATGTTCACTGTCACTTTATCTTTAAATCAATTGTGTTCAATGTGACTTTATCTTTAAATCAATTATGTTCACTGTGACTTTATCTTTAAATCAATTATGTTCACTGTGACTTTATCTTTAAATCAATTATGGTCACTGTGACTTTATCTTTAAATCAGTTATGTTCACTGTGACTTGATCCTCAGATCCACCATGTTGATTGTGACTTGACCTTTAGATCAACCATGTTTATTGTGACTTGACCTTTAGTTTATCCATGTTGATTGTGACTTGACCTTTAGATCAACCATATT